TTCACCCGCTGTTGACTCCACTTCACTCCGTTCTTCCGATGAAGTGTGATGGAAGCAACAGTCCCGTCAGTTAGTGGGTTGGCGCAAGCAAGCGTCAGCACCAGCCCACAAACTAACGTAATAACACGCAAGTTAACAACGTTACTAACAACGTTACTAACACCGTTAATAACACCGTTAATAACGATCCGCGATGCTCCGCATCACCCCATGGTTCCCCTCGGGAAGATGGTGTAATTTCTGGTCTTGATTGTAGGTTGACCTCTAATTCTAGAAAAAGGCGTGCCGGAAAAGGAAAAAAAAAACAAAAAACAAAAAAAACACGGATTTATTTAAGTCTAGTTCGCTCTCTGATGGGACCAATCAGACAGCGTAAAAAGCGCACCATCATTGTGTTCGTTATGTTTATGTATACGTATTTTAGCGTCGGCTGCGTCTGGACTAAAGTCACTGGATCTGGGAAAGTAGCGCCATTGCCTTCCCACCTGCTAGCCGGACACAAACAAATACCAACTTACAGACGATAAAACCTCAAGGTGATTGGCTCATCGCTGTGGGTTGCCATGGTGATCGCCATTTTGGACCCTTTCAAAGCTTCGAAGCTTCGAAAGGGTCGTTAAAACCAGTCGCACCTAGATATGGTGCATCATCGTATTGAAAGCGTTCTTCGGCCAATATGAGCGTCTTTGTCAATGTGGATGCAATGAACTTATCACTTATGCCTATTACCCCAGATCTCTTATGATTATGTTGCTCTTATCGCGTGTTTCAAGACAGTAAAATTATTTTTCAATGCCCCCAAGCACCGACGCCGCGTGTGAAGCCGTACATCTTGTACCGCCATCACACGCAACGTTAGTGCTTGGATGCATTGAAAAATAATGTTACCTCTTGAAACACGCAATAGGAGCAACATAATTATAAGAGGTCTGGGGAAATAAGCATGAGTGATAGGTTCATTGCATGCGCCAAAGACACTCATATGGGTCGGGGAACGCTTTCAGTACGATGATGCTCCAAAGCGATCTTGGTGCGACGGGTTTTAACGACCCTTTGGAACCTTCGAAGCTTTGAAAGGGTCCAAAATGGCGATCACCATAATTATTTATCTTTTACGCTCTAAACTGTGTAACATGAATTATATAGGACAAACCAGTACTTCATTTCGGTTGCGATTTAATAATCACAAGTCTCATGTCAAGTTCATACCCACGCTCCCTTTCTCATAACATATGAATCTTAAACTGCATTGGCAAAATACGCATCATGTTCCTTGAATCCGGGTTTAGCTATGATCACGATAGGGAATTGAAGGAGGCTTTCTTCATCCACAACTTCAATTCGGTTGCTTGTCGTATCTACGCAAGTCCAGGCGTACTCACTTGGCTGCCACGGTCTGTGTAGGGCCGAAGCAACACAATGGACCTTTTCCACATACCGAAGGCACCAGGCGGTGGCTGCACAAACTAAAAATCGAGGAAGTGACCTACCTGCGCTACCAATCGATAATGGGAGCTACGCTACCAGTTTCTTCGCTCTCTGAGCAGCGGCGCCTGCCCAACGCGACTTGAAAGAGGGGCATCCGTAGGCGTCCACCCAAACGTCGTGTTTTCCTTTCCGTCGACGTTCTTTTTTTGTGTAACACAATTATATATATGCTGCTGTTACGTGTTCTACTCGCTGATATAACCCTCCTTCCGATTTTCCTCGATTTTTCGTTCCGACTTCCGCCGCTTGGCATCGGGCGCTCGCGCGTGCGCAGAACGCTTCTCGGAAAAGGTCCATTGTTTTGGTTCACCGTGCTAGCCGGGCGCGTCTATCACATTGTTGCGCCAACGGCGCCTGCCACCGTGGCCATGCCTTTCGTGAACATCCTCGTGAGCGTGCGTCCCGTGGCAATCCTGTTCCTCTGTGTGAAATGTCTTAGCACGTAAGCATAATTAAAATATGACATAAATACTTCATAAAAAAAAAAAAAAGAACACGCCACGGCACTTTTGCACTGTCTATATAGATCTCAGCTCTCGAAGCGGCGTGAATCTCGAAATACATCCTCATTGCTATTTCTTAGTGCGCTCGATTTGCTCGGGGGTGATAGGGATTATAGACTGTGTCAAATGCTGCGAATCAATTTATCTAGTTTTAACTATTTTTATTATTATTGTTTACAATTACTATTTTCGATGATTTACCGATAATTTTGTCGGTCCTGCTCCGAATATTGTTAGTACTCTTCATATAGCCACTCTTCCCCTTCCTCACGAACGTTAACAAGATGACATTTTACACACCATCCCACCCTGCGCGCGCGCACACAAAAAACACACACACACACACACACACACACACACACACACACACACACACACACACACACACACACACACGCACACGCACACGCACACGCACACACGCACACGCACACGCACACACACACACACACACACACACACACACACGTGTGTGCTTTAAGTACGAGAGACTGGATTGCCACCAATAATATATAATTATATAATTGGGTTGAACTTGGTCTGCGTCACAGGGGCGACGAGTCTCACAGCTGTAGATGAGAAATTTAGCCAGTGCGGTACAACCGCTAGCCTGAGGTCTTTAACGTGCACCACGCAGTAGTGATACACGACCGCACGCCGGTATGATGCTCATCCAGATCAAAACGGGCAGGGGTGGGGCTCGAACCGAGGATCCCTGGGTTCTGCAGCGCGAGGATTGCCACCAAGAATATGAAGATAGCGTGCATATGAATCTTTAGGTCTAACCACGGCAAGGCGACATCGTGCGTCTCGCTTCTCCATCGATCAAGCGCCTTGCGTGCGTATACGTCTCCACAGTACGCCCTAAACTAGAATATTCTAAATACCCCCTCCCCCAAACAAAGTAGCCAACCAGGACAATTAGCCTAGGTTAACTTCTCTGTATTTCCCATTCAGACAAATCTCTCTCTCTCTCTCTCTAAATTATAATTTGTGTAATCAGTCTGGGACCCTTACCTTAAATATCTTGCATCAGATTTGCAATCAGTTCATAACAGGGCAGCGCCCTTTTTGTTTTTTTTGACATCTCAATATTTATAGCTTTGTTAGCGTCACTGAACTTAAACAAAACTCATCACTGACGCCCCTATGTCCTCGCAGACGTACTGCTAAATTTGGTCTTTTTCACAGGTTTTACTTCGACGACCACCTACATCTATCATTCACTTTGCTACCGCATCGCATATTCCCTTACATTGATCACTATGCAAATGTTGGCCTTCCTTTCACCTGAAACACATCTTTTATATCCTGTTTTCTGGCGACGTCTGTGAACTGGAACGGCCTGGCGGGAGCATCATTTGAACAAGACATCGACTCATTTCGTGAAATGTTTATACGTAGTGCAACGATTTTAATGTTGCAAGAATCGGCAGTTTGTATTTTTTATGTTGTTTATCCAAGCACAAGTGACCAAAAACGTGTCACCTTGCCCCGAAAAACTGCTATCCCGCTGCGTAATCGCAAAGGAAAAAAACCGAATTATTTGCCTATCTACAGCCGCGTGTGGCGGTTACGGGAACTACGGTGACAGCGTCTCTGCGGAAGACGCGGAAGTCAATAAAACCCTGTCCCCCTCCGCCAGCGGCGTAGACTTTCCATTTTCCCGGGGGGGGGGGGGGGGGGGGAGGGGGGGGGAGGAGGGGCTGCGCAGTTTTTTTACACCGGCAATTATCAGTACTTTATTTTAGGAGGTACAGTCTCCGGCGATATGAAAGACCCACTGGGAGCGCGTGGCCGAGGCAGTGGCTGGCGGGGGCGCTACGAGCGCTCCGGGCAATTCCATTCTGCTTCGAGGGGAGGACGCTCACTCGGGGCTCAGCACAAACTGATAAGCGCGCGCTTTAGCTGAGCCCCGAGTGAGCGTCCTCCCCTCGAAGCAGAACGGAACTGCCCGGAGCGCTCGCAGCGCCCCCGCCAGCCACCGCCTCGGCCACGCGCTCCAGTGGGTCTTTCATATCGCCGGAGACTGTACATTTTACAGCGTATGTATATCGCCATGTGTGCGTTATTTTGTTTACATGCCACTCCTATAAGCTCGTTACACGGCACGTAAACAGCGTCTCGGTTAGAAACATGGCCCGGAAGGGGGGGGTGGGGGGGGGGGGAGGGTTCTGCCCCCCCCCCCCCGGATTTTACCAGGGAGAGCACGAGCCCCGATGCCCCCCCCCCCCCCCCCCCCCGTAGTCTACGCGTATGCCCTCCGCTGCTACAAGCGCCGTCAGCCCCGTCAGCCCCGTGGCGGACTGTCTTTCGTGTCAACCGCTCGCCGCGACCTTCAACGATGCTAATACTTTAAAAGTCGACAATCGCATGCAGAGGAAGCGGCTGGGGTCTCTGAAGAGAGAACCCAAGGGGAAACCACGTGATCCTTCATAGTACGTCACTCGAAAGTCGACGTGGAGAGTTGAGGGGCACTTTGACCTTCGATTTGTTTCATTTTTCAAAATAAAAACTAACGCTCGAAAAAAAAAAAAAAGTTTTTTGTTGGTTGTTTTATAGGTGACACAGATAAATATCCGCAGTTAATTGGCCAGTCCGAAAATCGTTGCACCGCCCCTTTAACCTTGTTATTTAACTAAACCCCTCGCTTACGTAATACCTGACCCCCTAAGAAACTTAAATTATATTTTTAAAAAAAATACTGATAAGGCGGACACAAATTCGTCTACGGCACGGAAGGAACAAAAGTCGCTTTTGGGTGCGGCATCCGGATTCCCATACTGATGGATCTACCCCGAACAAAGCTGACAGCACGGCGGGAGCTCGACCTCCTCTCTGCGCATGGTTATAGCCGAGAGCCTGGTACAACGAGCACGTAGCTTCGACCCCACTATCGACTTAGGGGTGAGCGGAGTAGAGCGGTCTCCGTTGGAGGTGATGTCAGTGCATCATTTCATAGCAAACTGCAAACCTTCTCAAGTTTCACCACTGAAGACTTCTGGCAACTTTTGGTCATCACAAAACCCCATTTTAATCACCCTGGTCGTACTCCATGCACGCAGATTGGGGGAAATCCAACTATCCGCATCCACGTGTTGCCATAAACCTTGACGTCACAACACGGCAATGCCAGGTGGGGTGGCGGGCCTGTCAAGTCGGTAAATAGTTTCAGTTTCAGTTAATTTCTTATATTAAAATTTGCAAACAAAAGTCAGGTAAATTAACTGCAATTTTTTTTGCGTAGTTTGTCACTGTCTTTCGGATAATGTATTTTGTTTAAAATGTGCGAATTCACGGAGGAGCTCCTCTTTAACGATTTCCCAGCTGGTGTTAAAAGGCTTCCGCAGCTGTCATGCAAATCTAGCCAGTAAATTCGACTATCTGGTAAACGGTTTCGGTGTCTCCCATAGCTGAGCCGGATCGCAAGCTGGTCGCACTGCAGCGGTAGACCCCATAGTCGCCGGGCTCCACCCCGTAGATGTGTAGAACGGCCTGCGGTCCGTGCGCGTCAGCGAAGAGCCGCCGGCTACTGTAGTCGATCGGCTGGTACGTGCAAGTCGGCACAGGGCAGAAGCAAGGGCCGCAGGTGTGGCTGTGTCCATGACTTGGCCCTCCGGGAACTTGGTTCGGGATATAACCAGGCTGGTGCTGACCACTCCCAGGCTGCTGCTGGTGGGGATGGTGGTATGGGGGCTGCCAGGAAGCTGGCGGCTGGCGAGGGGTGTTCGTTGCTTTCACCCATACCACATTCTGGAACGAAAAGAGGTGGGATAATACATCAAGGCGCCTGGAGTTCCGCTTCCAGCTCACGTCTTGTGGGCACGTTCTGCCTCAACGCGACGGGAGGAAACGAGCCCGTGCTCGTTGCCGTCGCAATAAAATCGCCTAAATCACGCACCCTCAATTGACCCCGTAAGTATGACGTCACTTCTCTGAACAAACCGTTGCTAGGGGCGTTGCCATGGACGAATACATGGGACTGGATTTCGCTACGAAAGAACCATCGTGCAAAAATCAAACGTAGAATTTAAACGTTAATATATATATATATATATATATATATATATATATATATATATATATATATATATATATATATATATATATATATATATATATATATATATATATATATACTGTTTTTTTAAGCTTAACAAATTTGTTTAAAAAAAGCCGTGAAAGTTACACTAATGCCGCTTCGGGCTCCAAGCCAACATGCCTATATATATATATATATATATATATATATATATATATATATATATATATATATATATATATATATATGGGTGGTTTCATTTGAAATCGAACACGCTTGTCGGGGTGGGTCTTTCGATTTTTTTTTGAAAAAATATGTGTAATTGCCCCATTTCTGGAAAGAACAAAACCGCTTTCCAAATTTAAAAAAAAAAAAAAAATATTTCGCTTCACAAAAAATTATTGAGTGGAGCAGGGTGAAAATCTTTTTTACTCCGTGATTTTTCTACCTAGTTCTGTACGCTGGTATGAATACGGGAAGCATACAAAACTCACAGTAATTTTTTGTGCTCTTGTATGTTATTTGGACTATTTTTTAGTTTAAATGAAAATACTTTTGTAGTTTTGTTTATTGAGGTAAAAAATGCCAAACATCGTCTCTTTGACGATCAAGTGACATATTCAGAGCCTTGTAACTCATGATTTATTATATTTGTCACTTATTAAATACTATGCGGGTGTAGCCCTATACATGGGCTATCGACGGGCATAAGTTTTGTTTATTTTATTTTCACTGAATTTTTTATAAAAAATTGGAAATATCGTCGAAAATGAAATTAACCGATATTTTGAACCCACTTTATCAAAAAAAGGCCATTTTTTATTTCGTTCAATTTTTTTATTATTGCTGCCGATCATATGAACTTTCAATTGGCTTGATGCGATTTCCCCCTTTTTTTGTTGTATCTTCTTTAGAAGTGATCGAAATCGCTCCCACGTGACAATGCGGTGACAACTTGTTCGATGTTCGATCCGATGTTTAAAGCCAGGGCACAAAGGGCGGAGAAAACGGAACGAGCTCTTCATGTAGCCAGACCGGGGTCATATATCTGTTTGTGCTATACACAGCTTGTAAGGCACGTACAGCACGCGCGGCCCCTCGCGCTATAGGCCAATCTTCGTTACACCCAGGGAAGCATCCGGCACGGGCGCCAATCTATGATGTGTCTTGTCGGGTGCAATCATATAACCATGTAATCGCCTGTTCTTTATTGTCAGCGTGTATATAAAAATATGTAATATCACATGCCCCTCTTTAAGAAGGAAAAGCAGTTTGCAGAAAAAAAGTGAGGAAAACGGACTGAGTTTACTTGAAGCGAAGACAATTTTTTACAGAACACAAACACCAATTGGCGATAAATAGTCACTTTTATTAATTAACGCTAATATATTTAGGATGTACTTGTAAAACAATATGTTGTTGTGCTTTAAATAGTCCAGTTCACGAGCAACGTAACATTGGAACTTTTTGACAACGGCATCGGCTTGCCTGTGGAGACGATCGAGCGCGGGGGCGAGCTGAACTTTGTACCGCAGAGGTCGGATACACCCGAGACGTTCAACAGCGTGGTAAGTCGAGACGGACAGAACGAAAACTGGAGCCAAAGCGAGAACCTGAGACGGTGGCCCTTTTGTTTGAACGAGTGTGTGCAGTTAAAAACAAAAGTGTTGGGTTCTGTTCAAGACTGGATCGATATCTCTGATGCAAAGAAGCAAGGATTCCCACATGCACAGAAGACAGCGAAAGCAGTCACTTAATGTCTCTGTAGATTTTTAGTTTCTCCACTTTGTCGCACCGAGCTTAATGCAAAGATTGTACAGGTATATAACCCCGGTCTGGCTACATGAAGAGCTCGTTCCGTTTTCTCCGCCCTTTGTGCCCTGGCTTTAAACATCGGATAATGGAACATCCGCTGCACCGCTAAATATCAGACTAAGGAATATCAGTTGCCATCATTAAAAATTAATAAAATACAATGTAGCCAAGCACGAGTGTTCTCAATCGAAATGAATTTACCCGCTGCATTTGAACACACAAATAAGCAGTATATTCTTTGCAGCGAAGCCGACCTGCGGAAAATGTGTTTGGCCGTTCAGAGAACGTGGGAGCGATTTCGATCACTTCTTGAGAAGATACAACAAGAAAAGGGGGAAATCGCATCAAGCCAATTGAAAGTTAATATGATCGGAAGCAATAATAAAAAAAAATTGAACGAAATAATAAATGGTCTTTTCGGATAAAGTGGGTTGAAAATATCAATTAATTTCATTTTCGACGATATTTCCAATTTTATATAAAAAATTCAGTGTAAATGAAATAAACTAAACTTATGCCCGTCGATATTCCATGTATAGGGCTACACCCGCATAGTATTTGATGAGCGACAAATATAAAAACTCATGAGTTACAAGGCTCTGAAGTTGTCACCGCATTGTCACGTGGGAGCGATTTCGATCACTTCTAGAGAAGATACAACAAAAAAAGGGGGAAATCGCATCAAGCCAATTGAAAGTTCCTATGATCGGCAGCAATAATAAAAAATTTGAACGAAATAAAAAATGGCCCTTTTTGATAAAGTGAGTTCAAAATATCGGTTAATTTCATTTTCGACGATATTTCAAATTTTATATAAAAGATTCAGTGAAAATAAAATAAACAAAACTTATGCCCGTCGATAGCCCATGTATAGGGCTACACCCGCATAGTATTTAATAAGTGACAAATATAATAACTCATGAGTTACAAGGCTCTGAAGATGTCACCGGATTGTCAAAGAGACGAAGTTTGGCATTTTTTACCTCAATAAACAAAACTACAAAAGTATTTTCCTTTGAACTAAAAAATAGTCCAAAAAACATACAGGAGCACAAAAAATTATTGTGAGTTTTGTATGCTTCCCGTATTCATACCAGCGTACAGAACTGGGTAGAAAAATCACGTTGTAAAAAACAGATTTTCACCCTGCTCCACTCAATGATTTTTCGTGAAGCGAAATATTTTTTTTTTTAATTTTGAAAAGCGGTTTTGTTCTTTCCAAAAATGGGGCAATTACATATATTAAAAAAAAAAAGAAATCGAAAGACCCACCCCGACAAGCGTGTTCGATTTCAAATAAAACCACCCATATATATTCTCGACAAACTTCTCTCGTGGTAAGTGTAAAATCTGGGCGTGCTATATATATATATACATATATATAGCACGCCCAGATTTTACATTTACCACGAGAGAAGTTTGTCGAGAATCGTATGTTTCTGAAATATTTGCAACGGTAGCTTTCGGGCCTCGGGAAGTCTCGAGACACCTCCAGCAGATGACGAACGCATGACGAACGCACAAGGAATGGCTGAGGTATGCCGTCTGCAACAGTTTGAATAAGTGTGCATATAATGGTAAATTTTTTATCTTCGATTTATTAGGAACATCTCAGGTCTAAAAAACTCATCAGGTTTATAAAAAAAAAATGTTCTTAACTACGATACGGGGATACCGTGTGACGAAAATCATCGCGCGTATGTGGAGATCCGTTAAAAATACAGCGAGAGAAGCATATATGTTTAGAACATGATATCAACGCAGCGCGGAGCTCTATTTTTGGTTTTGCAGTTGACGCGTCCATAGACTTTTGTAGGTTGTTTGTTTCTCACTAAAAGTTCAAATGAAATATAAGGTCTCGATGTCCATTGACTGTATTTCCAAGTAAACTGCAGTGGTGCAAGTAGTAACCTGGTACAGACGTGCTAAAACAACCTCCGGAAGCGGTTTCAATCGGGAATATCTTTTCGCAGCTTTGCACAACTAAAGCTACAGTCAGACTGCTCGTTTAAAAGACACGGTGATCGCTGTCGACATGACGACAGAATTGTCTACGAATGCGCCTCAAGCCTATGATATGCATAGGGCAATGTTTAATCGCAAACATTGCTCTATGCATATTACTCCGTCCTAGTTCTAAACTATCGTTTTGTTTGTGATATTGCTGGAACAGTATTAATATGCGCCATGCGAGGTCCCACCTTACTCCTTATACCGAATGTAGAAGTTGAAGGGGATGAAGACAGTTAAAGTATTGAAAACAGAAAAAAAAAGAAGGATTGTTTAAACAAAAAAAAAAAAAAAGAACACGAGGCTTAATGTAATTTGGCTATCCCCTAAAAACAAAAAACAAAAAAAGCCGTCTCTTTTTGCTTTTTTTATTACGGTTTCCACATCTCTTAAAGGGGCCCTGCAATCATATTTAAGCGTCTACCTTTTATGCGGTTTCCACGTCTCTTGGGGTTCGGGCAAGCCAGCGGGCACGGAAAGAGTAGCTAAATATCAGTGCGCCATATTTTAACCGGAGGACACGGAAACCTCCTCCACCGACGAGGGCGACCCGCGGTACCGAAAGCGCGCAAAATGTGACGTCTTTGGTCTTGGGCTTACTACTGGTCAGAGCCACTAAAAACTTCTTTTTGGTCGAAATACAAAATATAAGTGGCGCGAATCGTTTCAATTATTTATGAAAGTAGTTTTTCTTCACTATTATAGATGAAAAAAAGATAGAAATGCACTTTATAAAGTACGGAAACAAGGAATGACCCGTCAACATACCCGCCGCCAAGCGGTGGAAAAGGCGGCGCATACTAGAAAGGAGTAGTGGGATAAGGCGCCGACACGGAAAAATCCCGGATGTACGCGGTGGCGCTGCAGTCGTCTGGACAGGAGGATC